AAAAAAAAATAATAATAAAAGTAATCTCAGACATAATAGCCAGATTAAATTAATCTACCTGATMAATAATTGATAATTTTTATATCCAAATTAAAAAACAATWAATGAGTTAAAAAYTTTTATTATTAGTTAAGTATTTACCTATTCGTGACTTTGTTTCCTAAACGTTGTCCCTCCACACAAAATTGAAAATAGGTTTTATATCCATATTAAAAAACAATTAATGAGTTAAAAACTTTTATTATTAGTTAAGTATTTACCTATTCGTGACTTTGTTTCCTAAACGTTGTCCCTCCACACAAAATTTAAAATAGGCAGATATTGTAATAATTTAATAGGAACTTATAATTTTAAACATTTMAGTTATTGTCAGAAACAATAATTATGTAAATTTTTTTGGAAGAATTGTTTAGAAAAATATCAAATAGAATATAGATACATTTAACATTATCGTACTGAAATAAATTCTATATTTCTATGCTTCATTGCATCACCATACATAAGTARGTATGCTTTAAAGTTTAAATACATAAACAATAAACTGTTTTTATATYATATAAATGCCACATGTATCTAATTATGTCGATGTTACTAAATTAAGGATTGGAATGACTTTTATAGGTATTACATTTTACGTATTTCCAGTCCATTATTTGTAAAAAGGTGCTCATTACGATTTCGCGTTATTTGTTTAAAATATATATATCATAAAAACGAATATGAAATATTTTTTAAATAAACTAAAATACGTTAAAAGTAAAAAAAAAAATTATATTCTGGTACACATATAGGTGATATTTGATACAATTGACTTGTTCTAAGATTACTGTTGTAATTACAAGTACTTGAGAGCTTAAAATCTATAGCATTGTATAGGTACGTACCTCCTAGACAGACAATTCGGTGAGTAAATGACACAATCCATTTGAACACAAGAGTGACTGGTATGATAAGAAATAACAATACAATTATCGGAAAGCTGATRGCGAAATTTATTGTTTTCATGAAACTTGCATTAATCAGTCTCCATATTTTCGAATAYCTTTTAAACGATATTCTTATAGGACTTTTGTTCTGTCTTCTAACCCGCCGTAATTGATAGTACATGTGGGTAGTAAATCAAACTTCCCTGTAAATTTTAATGTAAATGGAAAAATATTAATAATAAATACATAATGAAAAAAAATGAATATGCTTAAATTAATAATTTCGATGTTTTATAGTAATTTATGTCATATCTTGAGAGCATTGAAATAAAGAAATACATTTATAAGAGAGATACAAATAAATATAGCTATAAGTCTTAGAATCCCCCTGTATTATTTTAATCGAATTATCACCACAAATAAAATATAAGCTACAAATATAAATGCAATGG